TGTCACCATGACTGTTTCATTTGAGCCAATCGGCAACTGGTCAAGAGGAATCTGCCGTCATCTTCTCGTGGAACCGACCTTCCAATCTCTTTAACCAACACTTTCACTCGAAATGGAAGTAAGTTCAACAATTATGAGACAAGAGATTCCTTTAAACCCCGTTAACCGAAGAAATTTAGGCTCAATCTGCCAGTCCCAACTGCTCCTTCAAACTTAGTGAGGGTTGGTGCCATCATAGATCTTGCAATAAAGCTGTACCCAGCGAGGGTCGCACAAAGCGATCGACTTTCGAGGTTACCAATGCATTTCCGCCACCTTTTCAATCGAAAGAAAAGATGGCCAAACGTCAAAGTCTAGAGGAAGACTTTGAGGCGCAGATTCTCTTCATGTCTGGACCCATGCTCTCCGCCCACTAACCAACATCTCCATGCGCATTAACTAAAGACGAGGTTTTTCCTGTGGGCTTCCGTGAATAGCAGAAGATCTGGAATAATAATTGTGCTCATTAATTTGTTTTAAGATGAGAACGGACTGGAAATTGAATTTTCACACAATCTGGAAAGTAGCCATTGGAGCTGACGTAGCTAATGGTATTTTCATTCAGTCTATGGTGGACTGCAGTTTCCACCTCGCCTGACTTGTTCTCATCAGCACCCCCGGCGGGACTCGAACCCAGTTCGTGCTTGTGCGACATGTTATCTCAACACATTGACTGCAGATGTGAAGTTTAAAGAAGCTCAATCATTTTTTTATGTCACATTTTGTGTTAGGGCGGAAGTGTCGATGAAGCAAAGTGTTATTTCTTATAGCAATCGACAATACTACTTATTTTCGCTTATAAGTAGGCAATTAAGATGGACATATTTCTTATACAAGCAAGGCCTAGACCAACCTTGCTAAATAGATCAGGAGCCGACCTCCACATCCCGCAAAGCATGCATACTTTGAGAGACGCGTGGCAGCATCGAGGCTTATGTGACGGTTGCCTTGGCAACTCGCTCTATGATTGTATTTTCGCCACGGCAAGTTCCACATTCTCGTCAGCGCCTCCTCAACCGCGTCCCCGAACCGAGCTTAGGGAGCCCCTGCATGTACCGAGTCATGTTCGGTCAGGTCATATGACTCCATCTACCGAAGAAGCTCCTGAATCTCAAACCCGTTTCGTCATTGGCTCCACGACACTGTCCGCCCCACCTCAACTCAACACTTGCACCTCTTTTGTCTGCTACAAACGTCTTTCCGCCCGAATCACACGTACCACCTTCTTGCTCCTTATCCACCACCCCTCAAAGTCGCTGGTGTCGGACACCGCAGAGACCATAAAAGACGTCTACCAGGCAAATCACACAAGTTGGAATGTTTCCAAACTATCCGCAATTCCATAACACAACTTTGATTCCGTTTATGTCATTGTAGGTGATCCAGGTATGACTGGGAATATGTAAACCTACTAAGTAATGCCGTCAATTGCAATTGTGAATACATATTTAAGCCAATTAATATTTGAATCAGCCATTTATTTCACGCAATGGAATTTATAAGCGACTCTTCGAAACCCAGTTTTATTCATAAAATGCAAGTTTTTCAAATTCATTGGGTTAACTAGATCCGTTAAAAAGACATAAATAAGATACATCGAGTTAACCCTGTCAGGAAAGAACAAACAGCGAACTGGTGATGTTTTGTTATACAATTTTGACTTATCTGGACACACGCTTTCAGTGATTGTCCAATTTTTACTAAAGCAAAAACAGCAATCGCCAATATTATGCATAATTTTGCTATTCTTTTGGTATCAAAGTTAAGTATTTCGGTTTTAATTCGTCCAACGGAGAATGATATTAATTACTTGATCCTTCTCATATCGCTAAAGCGAAGAGTATATGACTGGAAAGTAAGAAGACATTTTATAAGACGGAATCCTTGCCTTACAGGACCTTTACAATCACAACTAACAAGTAGGACATAATTTTTTATTGTGGACATTATTTAATCGCGCCAAAATCTTAAAATTTGGCTACTGTTTTAAGTAGACTAAATTAGCACCATTTATTTTACACATCTTTAGCTTGGGCAACCTCATTTTTAATATTACCCATTGGATTCCAACAAAACCAGAGAGAAACAACCTTATTTCATTTGTAGAACTGGGTTGACCTAGTTG